CCACTGCTCCCCAAAGCTCACCAGCGGGCTCGACAATATCAAGGGCACCTCTCTTGCCCACGTCACTTCAACGGGCTCCATACAACGCAATAGGCAAATCCAGCCCAGGGGTGTGTTTCACGAGAGAAGGCCCTCCATCAAAAGAATGTTCAAAGTCTTCGCCATGCAGATCCGCACTGCCAGGTAGCACGCGACAACCCCCCGCGCCTCCAGGAAGTATCTCACCACAAAGGTCCGCACCACCATGCAGCCCTCCAAAGAGCACGCCGCCGAGGATATCCGCTTCCCCAAGAAGCGCACTGCCAGCATCCGCTCCCCCAAGAAACTCTTCACCAATGTGATCTGCACCATCTAGTCGTTCTCCTGGGAGCGCTGCACCACGAAGACCGTCGCCAGGAATATCCGCACTTCCAAATAGTACTTCAATGCCCACTCCGCCTGGAGACACGGCACCGGGAACAGCCGCAGCTCCAAGTATCACTCCATGGAACACTTCGCCAGGAATGTCCGCTCCTCCAGGTCGCAGTCCACTTACGTCCTTGCCTCTCCGCTCCTCCAGGAACTGCGTCACCCAGAAGATCCACACCACCTGGTGGCCCTCCACGGAACACTTCACCAGGAATTCCCCCGCGAGGAAGAACCTCTCCCCCGGGTAGCACTCCACAACCACGTACTTCTCCAAGAAGCACTTCATCAGGACGGTCCGCACCACCACGTAGCCCTCTAAGGTGGCGAGGTGTTCCAACAGGGTCCACAGTGAAGCTCATGGAACAGGATTTCCAAATTGATACCATTAAGCAGGGACCGACCGTCCTGGCATTCCTATAGGCCTACCACGACATTTTCATCGAGACCAAAAATGATCTAATAACATAAATTATGTTTTTCTCTACCTGGGCTCTGCCTAGAAGGGTTCTTACTATATTGCTTAAAGGGCCGGGCAGTGGTCCACGCCCCGGGCGGTTCCCCCGGCATCCGACCCGCGGTTCCCCCAGTTGCGCCCCCTGGGTTCACCCAGCTTAGCTTAGCTTAGCTTAGTTTATCTCATGTTAGCTTAGCTTAGCTTAGCTTAGCTTTGCCTAGCCTAGCTTAGCTTATAGCTTAGCTTACCTTAACGTATATCATCGTAGCTTAGCTTAGCTTAGCTTGGCTTAGCTTGGCTTAGCACAGCCTAGCCTAGCTTAGCTTAGCTTGGCTTAGTTTAGCATAGCTTAGCTTACCTTAGCTTAGCGCAGCATAGCGCAGCGCAGCAGTAGCACAGCATAGCATAGCATAGCCAAGCATACCCAAGCATAGCATAGCCTAACATAGCATAGCATAGCTCAGCATAACATAGCATAGCGCAGTATAGCATACCATAGCATAGCATAACATTGTTTAGCATAGCACAGCGCAGCATAGCATAGCATAGCATGGCACAGCACAGCACAGCATAGCATAGCATAGCGCAGCATAGCATCTCATAGCATAGCCTAGCACAGCATAGCATAGCGCAGCATAGCATAGCATAGCATAGCGCAGCATAACATAGCATAGCATAGCGCAGCATAGCATAGCATAGCATAGCCTAGCATAACACAGCGCAGCCGAGCGTACCCTAGCATACCCTAACATAGCGCAGCATAGCATAGCATAGCATAGCATAGCGCAGCATAGCAGAGCATAGCAGAGCAGCAAAGCAAAGGCAAAGCAACAGCAGCAACAGCAAAGCAAAGCACAAGCAACGCAAAGCCGGACCTGCAGTGCTGAACAGCCTGCAGCTCTTGCAGGAGCCGCGAGCAGTGCTGAACAGCCTGCAACTCTTGCAAGCAGTGCTGAACAGCCTGCAGCTCTTGCAGGAGCCGCGAGCGGTGCTGAACAGCCTGCAGCTCTTGCAGGAGCCGCGAGCAGTGTTGAACCTAGTGCAAGCAGTGCTGAACAGCCTGCAGCACTTGCAGGAGCCGCGAGCAGTGCTGAACAGCCTGCTGTCGCTGGGTGCACAGCAAAGCAAGACAAAGCAAAGCGCAGCATAGCATAGCATAGCATGGCATGGCATAGCATAGCTTATCTTATCATAACGCAGCATAGCATAGCATAGCATAGCTTAGCTTAGCTTCGCTGTAGATGTATGTGTACATGTAGGTGTAGATGGTGTAGATGTAGGTGTAGATGTAGATGTAGATGTGAGTGTAGTTGTAGATGTAGATGTAGATGTAGATGTAGATTCAGGTGTACATGTAGATGTAGCTGTAGGTGTAGATGTGGATGTAGGTCTAGATGCAGATGTAGGTATTAAGCTGTACTACTACTACTACTACTACTACTACTACTACTACTACTACTACTACTACTACTACTAGTACTAGTACTAGTACTAGTACTAGTACTAGTACTAGTACTATTAGTAGTAGTAATACTACTACTACTACTACTACCACCACCACACCACCACCACCACCACCACCACCACCACCACCACCACCACCACTACTACTACTACTACTACTACTACTACTACTACTACTACTACTACCGCTACTGCTACAACTGCGACGATGAGGAGAAGGAGGAGGACGGCGTTTAACGTTACTACTAATATTGCTCTCCTAGGGGCTCCAACTCCTAGGTAGGGTCGCTCTGGGATAATTATTTCTAAGAACATTTCGTGCAGGCTCCACAAGGTTCTGAAAAACATTGTTTGGTAGGCCTAAAGGCGAGCCAGGACGCTTCGCCACTGCTTGATACCAGCAGGAATGAACATAGGGGCCCCATTGTGGGAACGGAGGACATCGGCTGGTGGGTGCCTTTCAGTGCCGTTGCGGGTCATTGGTGCTGTTGTTGTTGTGGTGGTTTGGGTTGTTGTTGGACGGAGGTCCCAATTCGACGTCGCACCCTGTTGCGAACTCTCCTGGGCTTGCGACTGGTTCCCGGCGCTCGGCTCTGTAAGTTCTGAGGTACTCCAGCTCGCTGTACCAATGGTACCAAATCTCCGTTGGGGTCGCCATCGCGCGCATGTAACCCAACCCTGGTCTGTGCTGTCATGCGCAGGTTCCCGGTGCTGAAGATCAGGTTGACGCTGTGTGGTACTTGAGTTTAGCTCTCGCGTGACCAGGGCATCCGCCACATAGGACGAAAAAAACAGCGCTTCGCTGGTCTCCGTGCTCGCTGGTGGCGTGCAGGATGAAGTCTTCGGTGTCGCACGTGCTCTTGATGTAAAGATTGGAACGGATTGCCCTCCGCTCGGCAGCTTCGGAAATCCGTTTTTTGCAAACCTGAATGGGCAGAATTTCGTGGATCTGTTGGACGTTGATCAATGCCTGTCCGCGGGGTCTTGTTCATGGTGGGCCGAGGTAGATCAAGCCGTTCTCGGCCACCTCCTAGATTCTCTCCTGTGGTAGCGCCGCGATGAAGACCCTTCTGGCTATCATGTCCATGTTTGTGCCGTCTTGGTTCACTTGTCGCCACATTGCTTTGGGGTAGTGTGGCACGTGAGCTGGCCTCGGTGACCACTGGCCCGCAGGGTCGTCACTGTTGGGAGTGGCACGGTTCATTATAAAAACGCTCGACGCTCCGAAGCGCATCAATAGCGTTGGTGTGAGCATCCCTCTTGAATGTGTGGTTCGTCGCGCCCATGTAGCCCAGCGTGTAGTGGTGGTTGTACGTGGTCCCCATCCATCCAGGACCGGTGTTCAGTGGTAATTGCGGAGACAGGCCCAACACCCACTGCAACGTCAAGTATATTCCTGAGGGAATACCATTGAATCAAGGTCGTACTGCGATTTGCCTGGTACCCGCCTGGTCGTTGCCGCGAACGATGGGTCGAACCTTGCGTCATCTTGTGGCTGGTCATCGAGGAATTCCCTTCCGTCTCGGAGGCGCTGGCAATGTTTCAGGGGGGCGTAAGACCCGGGTAAAGGGGACTCGGAAATCCCCGACGAGGTCGTCAAAAAAATGACGAGGCCGAGCCTGCATTTTGACGAGGCCTCCCGCTGCAGACATCCCACGAAACTCCTACTCGTCAAAATCCGAGTCGCGGTCGTCAAAAAACGATGGCGAACCCGAATCCTGGCAAACCCGGGTCTTACGCTCTCCCGAGTATTGAGCTCGTGGCTGGTCCTGTTGCTTCAACTCGGGTGGTGCACTCGGTGCGGCGCCTTCTCCGCCGAGTGCCTCGAGCTGCGCCATGCGTTGGGCACTCTGTGCGGGAAGGTCCTCCGTTCCTTCTGTGATATTCACCTCGGCGTCGCTCGCGGACGTGATCTTCGGTAGTCGGTCGAACAAAATGTAGTCGATGGTGGCATCGCATAGGTCGATTGGGTAGGTTTCCTCTCCCCGCCTCCGCCTCCTCCTCCTCCTCATTTTCCCTCCGAGTCCACAAGACAGTCGCCCCCGTCGCCGCCGCCTCGAGAAAAGCCAACCCCACCTCACCCCCTGTGGCAGCGACGACGACGATGGCGACGACGACGACGACGACGACGACGACGACGACGACGACGACGGCGACGGCGGCGGCGGCGACGGCGACGACGGCGGCGACGGCGACGGCGACGGCGACGGAGACGACGGCGACGGCGACGGCGACGGCGGCGACGGCGACGAGCAGGAGTGCGGCGGCGGCGGCGATTGGCGGCGGCGGCACCAGCCAAAGTGACGACGCCAGCGGCGCGGTCGAGTGCAGAGGCGACGGCTTCTGCGGGAACTCATGGAAACTTACCATACCATCTTGCTGGTCCGTGCGAGTCGACGGTGCTCGAAAACGGATCTAAGCCGGCGCTATTTCATCGATTCTCAAGCGCCAATCCACGCTGATGCTCTCAATGGCAAACTTGCGAGGGCAGACAACGCCCCCATGACTTGCCACCGAAGGCGGCATCGGCGGCGAGAACGGCGGGTCGGCGCCGGCGGCGGCGACAAGGGCGGCGGCAGCGAGAAGGGGCGTCGGCGCCGGCGGCGGCGAAAAGGGCGGCGGCGGCACAGCGGCGGCGGCAACGGCACTGGCGACGGCGACGGCGCGGGGTCGCCTCCGGCAGGGCCGGCGGCAGGCCGGGGCTCTCCAGATGGCACGCCGCGCCGTCCCCGCCTCGGCCGCGGAGGGGCGGAGCGCCCGCATCGCCCGCGTTACGCCACCACCATCGCCGCTTTCGTGGTCGTTGCAGCCGTCAGCGTCGCCGCCGCCGCCGCCGCCGTCGTCGCCGCTCCCGCCGTCGCCGTGGCCGCCGCCGCCGCAACGGCCGTGCGCGGCGGTCGCTCCCTGCGGGAGTCCTTCGGGGGCCTCCCTGGGCGTCTGGGGCGCCTCGGGGGCCCCCCCCCGCGGGGGCCTCCGCGGACCTCGTCGTCGCGGCCGCCGTCGCCCGTCGCAGTCCCTCTGCGGCGCCGAGGCAGCGGCGCCGCTCGCCGTCGCCCTCGCGAGCGGGGCCGCGCTGGGCCGGCACGGCGGGAGGCTAGTCGACGCCGCGGGTGGTCCTGGCGGCGGCGCGGTCGGCGCCGCGGCGCCCGCGGGCGGCGAGGGCCCGGTCGGAGCGCCGGGGCCGGCGGAGGCGGCGGGCGGCTTCGCCAAGGGAGCTGGGTCGGAGGCCGCACGCCCAGTGGGCGGCGGCGGGCCCCGGGGGGAAGCGAGAGGGGGCGGGCCTTCACAGAAGGCTCGGAAGGCTCCCCGCCTTCGGAGAAGTCGCCCAGGCCTGCCCCGAAGGCACGAGGGAGCTCCGCAGGAGGCCGCAGGGCTTCTGAGAGGCCCCGCCGCCTTCTGGGCAGGCCTTCCCCGTCTCACTTCCCCCCCTCGCTCGCCGCCGACGTGGGAAGCGGGGCCGCACCATTACCATTGGCATTCAGAAGAGGAGGAGGAGGAGGAGGAGGAGGAGGAGGAGGAGGAGGAGCCTATAGACCACCGCCGCCGAGGACCCATCGCTGAGGGACTGGCCCCTGGGCGGTGACACGCCTGGGCCAAGGCTGGACCGAAACGTTGTTTTGCGTTTTGTTGTCATTCCGTTGTTCCTTTTGTTCTGCCTGTTTTCCTGCACCTAGGGGGAAAACAAACCTACCTCGCTTTTGACCACCCTCGCCTCCAAGAGATACCAAGCGATGCCAAACTGCGGCCTGTACTGGTCAAGCCGCTTGACGAGGCGGCGCGTGGTGCGACCTGGCTTTTCCTGGAAGCGAGAGCGGGGTAGGCAATTCACGCTCTGAGCTCCTCCCTGCCAAAACAAAAAAACACAGGACACAGAGCCGAAGTCCAGCAGAACAGCGTCCAGGTCCAGCCCCGGCCTGCGCGTCGCCCTGTGGCCTGGAGGGGCGCCCGCGCGTGCCGCCGCCCGGGAGTCGGCCACCCCCTCGCGGGGTCTCGGCGGTGGTGGTCCGCGCGTCTCCTCTCCTCCGGGGCATCGGACCTCGGAGGCTCGCCTCGGATCTCGGAGGCTCGCTCGAAGGACGCTGGACGATCTCCGTGCCGAGTCGACTCCTCGTCGGGAACGCCCAGAGGAAGAGGCGCTGCGGCATGCCCGTGAGCAGTGCGAGGGACGCCACTTCGAACAAGGCCCCCGCTGCCCACCAGGTGCGAGCATCTGGGCATCGGAATCGCGTCGCCGCCATCTAACCGAAACCACGGGGTGCCAGAAGTGTTCGCGCGATTTTGATGGTCATCGCATGAAGCTCGACCACGTGCAGTTCCGAGCGAAGCGGCGACACGATGCCCTGCCCCCAGCCCGTGAAAGCGATGCCCCGTCAGCAGGTCACGCAGTGTTTGCGACCTCGGGGCGCCAGAAATTGAGCATGCTTGCCTGAAGACACAACTGACTGATCCGACTTAGAACTGTTGTTCATCGTCATCAGCATCATCAGTATCGGCATCGCCACCATTATCACCACCATCACCATCGTCAACATCGCAGTCATTATCAACATGTGGTGGTCGTGCTGGGTAGCGTCGCCGTCATCACCATTGCCACCACCACCACCCGCATCACAGGGCGACCCAGCTCGAGCATGCCTGTGCCTCGCCAGCCAGAACACCTGCAATCCCCTGACAGATCTAGGACGACGACGCCGACGACGGCCGCGACGCTGGTTCGCCGCCCTCATAGCGCGGCCTCGGCAAGCTCGCGACACCACGTCCGACGACGACGACGACGACGACGACGACGACGACGACGACGACGACGACGACGACGGCACGGACGACGACGAACGGCGAGGACGACGAAGAAGAACGACAAGGCGCCGAGCGACGACGACGAACGACGACCAACGCATGAGCCGACGAACGACGCACCGACAGCCGACGGACGACGCGCGGTCGACCGGCCGAGGGCGAGAGACGGCCGCCAAGGGCGACGACGACGACGAGGACGAGGACGAGGACGACGACGAGGACGACAACGACGACGACGACGACGACGACGACGACGACGCCAACGACGACGACGACGAAGACGACGACGAGCGACCACATGGCCGACGGGCGAACAGCGAGTGACAACGAAGAAAACGACGACGAGCGACCACGACGAGCGACGACGACGAGCGACGACGACGTCGAAGACGACGAGCACGACGACGACGATGACGACGAGCTACCCCGCTTCCCTTCCCATTCCGAAGCCCACCCCCCGCCCCCCACTCCGCCCCTACGTCTCTGGGTTCGACAGCAGTCCGAGTCCTCAGACCCCGCAGACTTCTCTGGGACCCGTCGGACTGTCTGCGAAATCCCTCGGATGTCCTCGATCGTCGTCGATCGTCGACCGTGCTCGTCGACTGCACTGCGACCGCGGGCGACGAACGTCGGCGATCGACGACCGTCGGCAAGATGCGGCGTCGGCGGCGTCGGCGGCGTCGGCGGCGTCGTCGTCGTCGTCGGCGGCGGCGTCGGCGGCGTCGGCGAGCGACGAACGTCGGCAAGCGGCGGCGGCGAGCTGCGGCGGCGCCGCGCGGCCGCCTCCGGCGGGGGCCTCGGCCGCGCCGCCCTCGGCCTGGCGCCGGCGCGGGGCACGCGGGGAGGGGCCGTCGTCGGCGTCGGCGTCGGCGCCGTCGTCGGCGTCGGCGTCGTCGTCGTCGAAGCGTCGTTGGCGTCGTTGGCGTCGTCGGCGTCGTCGGCGTCGTCGGCGTCAGTGTCGTCGTCGGCGGCGTCGGCAATCGTCGGTACTCGTCGTCGTCGTCGGCAATCGTCGGCAGTCGTCGTTGTCGGCGGTCGTCTGTCGTCGGCAATCGTCGATCATCGGCGTCAGCGATCGACGGCGTCGTCGTCGGCATTTTGTTTTGTGTATATCTCACGCTAGCCGCCGCACCAATCAGTGTGGGTTAATGCCTTGCTCTCCTAGGGTTTTGTTGTGCTCTTTTTCGCAAGAGCACTTGACACGCGTGCGGAGCTACACTGTAAATGCTACGCCTTCCTGTGGCTTTGCCAGGTAGCTGCTCTGAACCTGCACCGCTTGAGGCGGCGGATAGCTTGGGAGAACCATCCAACGCATCGTCGGCGTCGCCGTCGTCGGCGCCGACGTCGGCATGCGTCGGCGTCGGTGTCGGCGTCGTCGGCGGCGTCGTCGGCGTCGTCGGCGTCGTCGTTGTCGTCTTCGGCGTCGGCAACCGTCGATATTCGGCGTCGGCGATCGACAGCGCCGTCGTCGGCATTTGCTGGATGGATCGCACGCACTCTTCGCCGCATCACACGGCGTCCGTTGATGCCTTGCTATCCTAGGGATTTGCTGTGTTCTTTTTCGTTTTCGCAAAAGAGCACTTGACACTCGTGCGGAGCTACACTGTCAGTGCTACGCTTTCCTATGGCTTGGCCAGGTCTCTGCTCTGGACGCGCACCGCTTAAGGCGGCGGAGAGCTTGAAAAATCCTTCCAACAAATCTTAGTCGTTGTCGTCGGCATCTTCGGCACCGTCGTCGGCGTCGACGTTGGCGTCGGCGGCGTCTTCGGCGTCGGCGCCGTCGTCGTCCTCGTCGTCATTGTCGTCGTCGTCGGCGTCGTCGTCGTCGGCATCGGCGTCGGCAACGGCCGTCGTCGTCGTATGTCGTCGTCGTCGTCGTAGGCGGCATCGGCGTCGGCGCGGTCGGTCAACGTCGTCGTTGTCGTTGTCAGCGTCGTTGGCGTCCTTTGCGTCGTAATCGTCGTCCGCGTCGGCTACGGCGTCGGCGTCGAAGTCGTCGTCGGCGTCGCCGTCGTCGTCGGCATGATCGTCGTCGGTGTCGACGTCGTCGTCGGCAGCGTCGTCGTCGGCGTCGTCGGCGTCGCCCGCGTCGTCATCAGCGTCGTCGGTGTCGGCGTCGGCAATCGTCGATACTCGTCGTCGTCGGCAGTCGTCGACAATCGTCGATGTCGGCAGTCGTCTGTCGTCGGCAATCGTCGATGGTCGGCGTCGGCGTCGGCGCGGCGTCGGCGCGGCGTCGGCAGCGTCGTCGGTGGCGGCGTCGTCGTCGTCAGCGTCGTCGCCAGCGTCATTGTCGTGGTCGTAGTCATCGGCCGCGTCGGCTACGACGTCGGCGTCGGTGTCGTCGTCGGCGTCGCTGGCGTCGTCGCCGTCGTTGTCGTCGGCGTCGGCGTTGTCGGCGTCGTCGGTGGCGCTGTCGTCGGCGTCGTCGTCGGCGTCGTCGCGTCTTCGGCGTCGGTGATCGTCGATACTCGTCGTCGCCTGCAATCGTCGACGATCGTCGTTGTAGGCGGTCGTCTGTCGTCGGCAATCGTCGATAATCGGCGTCGGCGATCGACGGCGTCGTCGTCGGCTTTGGATGGACGGATCTCTCAAGCTCTCCGCCGCATCAAGCGGTGTGGGACAACACATCATCTCCTGGGGCTTTGCTGTTTTCTTGCTCGCAAGAACACTTGGCACTCGTCAGTTCTAAGTTTTCCTGTGGCCTTGCTAGTTTTCTACTCTGGAAGCGCACCACTTGAGGCGGTGGCAAGCTTGAGAGATACATTCAAGAGATCGTCGTTTGTGTCGTCGGTGTCAGCTACGGCGTCGTCGTCGGCGACGGTGCCAGCGTTGGTGGCGTCGTCGTCGTCGTCGTCGTCGGCGTCGTCGTCGTCGGCGTTGGCGGCGGCGTCGGCATCTGTAGCGTCGGCGTCGTCGTCGTCGTCGTCGTCGGCTTCGTCGGCGTCGGCGTCGGCGTCGGCGTCGGCGGCGTTGGCGTCGGCGTCGTCGGTGTCGTCGTCGTGGGCGTCGGCGGCGTCGGCGTGGCTGGCGGCGCCGTAGTCGTCGTCCGCGTCGGCTACGGCGCTCTTGCTCTCTCAGTATTTGCTGTGTTCTTGCTCGCAGGAGCATTCGACACGCGTGCGGAGCTACACTGTCAATTCTATGCTTTCCTGGGGCTTTGCCAGGTAACTGCTCTGGACGCGCCGGGCTTGAATCGGCGGAGAGCTTGCGAGATCCATCCAACCAATCGTCGTCGTCGGCGCCTTCGGCGGCGTCGGCGTCGGTGGCGTCGGCATCGTCGTCGTCGTCGGCGTCGGCTTTCGTCGTCGTCATCGTCGTGGGCGGCGGCGGCGGCGGCAGCGTAGTCGTCGTCGTCGTCGTCGTCGTCGTCGTCGTCGTCTTCGTCGTCGTCGTCGTCGTCGTCGTCGTCGTCGTCGTCGGCGTCGTCGTCGTCGTCGTCGTCGTCGTCGTCGTCGTCGTCGTCGTCAGCGTCGTCGGCGTCGACGTCGACGTCGTCGTCGCCTGCGTCATCGTCGCCGTCGCCGTCGTCGGCGTCGGCGTTGTCGGCGTCGTCGGTGGCGTTGTCGTCAGCGTCGTCGTCGTCCGTCGTCGTTGGCGTCGTCGCGTCTTCGGCGTCGGTGATCGTCGATACTCGTCGTCGCCGGCAATCGTCGACAGTCGTCGTTGTCGGCGGTCGTCTGTCGTCGGCAATCGTCGATAATCGGCGTCGGCGATCGACGGCGTCGTCGTCGGCATTTTGATAGATGGATCTGTCAAGCCCTCCGCCGCATCACGCGGCGAGAGTTGATGCTTCGCTCTCCTAGGGATCTGCTGCGTTCTTGCTCGCAAAACTTCTTGACGCTTGTGCTCTCTTGCTCGCAGGAGCGCCACGCTTTCATGTGGCGATGCCACGCGTCGGCCCTGGAAACGCACCGCTTGAGGCGCCGGGGAGTCTGAGAAATTCATTCAACACATCGTGACCGTTGTCGTCGGAGTCGTCGGCAGCGTCGTCGGTGTCGGCGTCGGCGTCGGTGGCGTCGCCAGCGTCATCGGTGGCGTCGGCGTCGGCGTCGTCGGCGTCGGCCATCGTCGTCGTCGTCGTCGGCGGCGGCGGCGGCGGCATCGGCGTCGGCGGCGTCGGAATCGTCGGCGCCATCGTCGTGGGCGTCGGCGTCCTTGGCGTCTCGTAGTCTTCGTCCGAGTCGGCTACGGTGCTCTCGCTGTCATAGGGCTTTGCTGCGTTATTGCTCGCTAGAACACTTGACACACGGGGGGACTACACTGCCAATGCTGCGCTTTCACATGGTTTTGCCACGTTTCAGCTCTGGATGTACACCGTTTGAGGCAGTGGAAAGCTTGAGAGATCCATACCGTTGTCCCCGGCGTCGTCGGCACCGTCGTCGGCGTCGGCGTCGTCGTCGGCGGCGTCCTCGGCGTTGGCGCCGTCGTCGTCGTCGTCATTGTTGTCGTCGTCGGCGTCGTCGTCGTCGGCGGCGTTGGCGTCGGCGGCGTCGGCGTCGGCGTTGTTGGTGTCGTCGGCGGCGGCGGCGGCGGCGGCGGCGTCGTCGTGGTCGTCGTCGTCGTCGGCGTCGTCGTCGGCGTCGTCGCCGTCGTCGTCGTCGCTCGCCGTCGCCATCGCCATCGCCGTCGCCGTCGCTGTCGCCGTCGCCGTCGCCGTCGCAGTCGCCGTCGCCGTCGCAGTCGCCGCCGTCGTCGTCATCGTCGTCACCGGCGGCAACAATCGTCTATACGTCTATAATCGTCGTCGTCGGCATTCGTCGTTGACCATCGATAGTCGTTGTCGGCGGCGATCGACGCCGTCGTCGTCAGCACTCCTATGTTGTCGTCGGCCATCGTCGTCGAAGGTGGTCTTTGCCATCGGTGGTGGTCGTCGTTGGTGGTCGTCGGCAATGGTCGTCGTCGGCAATCAGCAGTCGTCGTCTTGGGCGGTACTCATCGTGCTCGGCAGTCGTCGTTGTCGGTCAGGGGTGCCAGGGAGAGGAAAAGGAAAGGAGGCGGGTAGAGGAGGGCGGAGGTGGCAAGGGAAAGGGGAAGCAACGACAAGGATCCCCAGAACTTCCTGTCCAAAAGAAGTACGAAGGAAGAGGTGGTGGATGAGGAAGGGAAAGCAACAAAAAACAACATCAAGGAGGGCTTAAGCAGTCGTCTCCTGTCCCTGCCCCCCCCGTTTCCCTGGGCCCGTTTCCCCCCCCCCTTCCCCCTCTTCCCTGGGCCCGTCGCCGCTCCCCCCCCGCTTTTCCAGGGCCTTCCCATCAAGAGCAACGTTGTCATTGAGTCGAAGGGAGACCCCTTCCCTTTGATCCCTTCCCTGCCAGGGGGGGGGGCGGGCCCCGGGGATGTCCTGGGGGGGATCCCGGGGTGAGTCCTGGGGGGGGTCCCGCGTCAGAGTCGGCGCAGCAGTTGCCCACTGCGGGGAAAAGGATGGCATCCAGGTGACGTCCACCTGGCGGTCCGGGTGGGCCTGGAGCGACCTGCCGATGCGGGCCCAGAGGTCGCTGTTAACGCCCATGCCGAGTTCCACCCGTTGAGGAGCGGCATGTTGTCGGTGACGTAGTGGACGTCGGCCTCCAGCTGCTCGAGGGCGAGGACGAAGGCGAAGATCTCCCCGCGCGGGACCGTCTGCCGTCGCCCAGGGAGGGTTGCGATTGCGCCTGCTGCCAGCTGCCATCGCGGGCCGCGAGCCCCGATGACCGCGAGTCCGACGCCAGCCCGACGCTTTCGCTCGTCCGCGCTGTGCTTGCCCCCCGAGGCGTCGCCGAATATCGCGATGGTCTGGCTGCCGCCTGCGGGCCATGGGGCCCCAGAGTGGACCATGAGCTCGTCGTCGCAGGTCGGCGCCAGCGGAGTGGCGTGGGCGGCAAGGATTACGCCCCTGAGCCAGAGGGCGGGGCACCCCTCGATGCCGCTGAGCGCCTGGGGGATGAGGTGGGCCGTCCGGTCGTAGGCGAGCTTGCCCTGGTTGCAGGGGCAACGCCAAATTCGGTGCTCGAACTTCTCCTCCTCGCCGAAGTATCGCCGGCAGGCTGCGTCGCCCTGGTAGCCCGCGGCAATCCGCCGCCGCCGTGGCCACTGCCACCCAACCGCGACGAAGTAGTTGAGGGCCCACTCCTGCCGGTGGCCGTGCTTGGCGCAGTGGTCGAGCTCGCGCTTGACCTGGGAGACGTCGCAGGCCTGGCCCAGGCCCGCGCCGCGGGCGTGCTGGCTGGCCCGCTGCCAGTGGAGGCGGTCGAGGTCCACGGCGAGGTCGTCCAGCAGCTCCGAGAACTCGTGGAAGTCCACCTGGAGCTGGCCGTTGTGGTCGGCGAACAGGATGGCCCACTCCTCGTCGCCCTGCGCAGTGGGGCGCGACCAGGAGCGGGGTGGCGCGGGCCGCCAGCCTGCGTCCATGAGCGCAGCCATGACCGCCGCAACAGGCCCGTGAAATTTGCGCCATCTCCCCGTCTTGGCCCTGAGGGGCCCGCGGTGCACGCGAGGCCAGATGCGCAGGGCGCGCTTGTGCAACTCTGGCTTGGCGAGCCACTGCGTGGGCCAGCACCGTAGAGCAGGGCCGCGGCTGCGTCGAGGCATCGCCCCGGGCCCGCCCCCGCCGCCGCCGCCGCTGCGGAGCGCCTGAGCCGGGCAAGCCTGGAGGGCGCGAAGCCCCAAACCTCGTGCCCGAACGCCGCCTGCGGCTACGCGCCACTGGCATGGAGACTGGTACCGAGCTTGCCGAGCCGCGCCGCCGCGCGACGTAGGCGCTGTACCTGCCTGGCACGGAGGGCCGCGCGCCTGTGCCTGGCATGGGCCTTGCGCTAGGGCCTCCTGTTGCCCGTGACGACGTCGACCCCGAGGTGGGCCATGTAGTGGGCCCCGTGGCCTGGGACTCCGCGCTGCCTCACGCGCCCGCCGATGACCTTGCGAAGGGCGGCCGAGGACGCAACGAGCGTGGTCTGAGGGAGATCGCGAGGCGGCTGTCGCTGCATTGCTGGGCCAGGGCCGCGCTGGCAACGGCGAGGGGGTCTGTGGCGTCGGCCTTGCTGCCCTCCGCGCGCTTGACGGCGTCGTCGATGTACGACCAGATGGTGGTGGCCTCGGCCTGGGCAGCCTGCAGGATGGGGCCGACCCATTCCCCTCGCTTTAGGTATCGCGGCGCGAGGAATGCCTCCACCTCCAGGGCCAGGGCCGCGGGGGAGAGGCCGAGGTCAACCGCGCGCTCGATGAGCCAAGCGATCGAGGTCCAGCGAGTCGAAAAACTTCGCGATGTCGGCGCACAGCGAGGCGTGGTGAATGCCCATGCCCTGGGCCGTCTCGTCCAGGGTGGCTCGGTAGAGGGCCGCTCGCAGGGCGGACGACCCCTTGATGGCCGTGTCCCAGGTGGTCCTCCAGGCCCTGGGTCCACTGGTCGACGACGCCACTGCGCGCACGAGCCCAGATGCGGACCGGCATGGGGAGCAGGCCGAGGACTCGGTCCCCTCCCGCAAGCTTGCCCGCTACCGCTCCCAGGGTGCCGTTGAGCTGCGGCGGCCACATGCAATGCGCCCCAGCCTGGTGGAGGACGGCCAGGAACTGCTCCTTGGCGCAGTCGGGGAAGCGCTCGACGTCCAGCGGGCTGAGCCTGTCGACGCCCTGGGCCTTGCGGCAGGCCATGCGGGGACCCGGCTTGCCAGTGGCCGCGTTGAGGCAGTCCGCCGCGATGGGCTCGAGGGCCTCCTGCGCCGCGAGAACACGGAACGAAGCCAAAGCCACCGGTATGGCTTTCGTGCGGTCGGCGGGGGCGGTCCAGACCTTCTGCCACTGCCACGTGGTGGTCTTGGCCAGCATGACCTCGACGGGGTCCGCCAGGGTGCCTTCGGCGGGGTCTTCGAGCCGCTCCAAGTCGCCGTCCTTGGTCCAGCGGTGGAGCTGGCCCAGCGTGGCTTTGGCCGCCCAGGCCGCGAAGGCTTGGCGCCCGTGCTGGAAGGCCCTTCGCGCGGCGTCGCCAGCGAGGTCGAGGGCGAGCTGCCTGGCGGCCGCCTGCTCCTGACGGGGCTGGTCGAGGATCACCGTGGCCCTGCGCTGGTCGACCGCCAGCTGGTCCGTGCGCTTGGCGGCCGGGAGCTTGCCGATGTCCGCGAGGGTGCTGCGGTGCAAGTCGAGGCGCCGCAGCAGCTGTCGGTAGTCCTTGCCGCTGGCAGCCAGCGCGAGGATGGCCGCGAGGTTGGCGCTGCGGGTGGCCCAGGCGTCAGCTTCAGGATGGTGGAGGTGGGCCGTGCCTGGGCTAGCTGCCGCGTGGCTCCAGGCGACGCCGACGCCGCGCGCCCTGCCCTGGCGGGCAGCCCAGTTCGCCTTGTCGCAGCCCTCGCGCCGTAGGATGGCGGCCTTGACCTGGGCGACCCTTCTGCCGTAGGGCTCCGCATGGGCGTGGGCCTGGTCCTCGCGCTCGTCGAGGAAGGGGTGGTAGAACAGGTCGGGGTGGACCTGTGCATCGCTGTGCCGGCAGGGTGTGGCCCCGAGCCAGGTGTCCAGCGGGGCGAGGAAAGGGGCGGTGGGGGCGTCGCGTGGGGCCTGCCCTTGCGGCGGCGACGGCGCCGTGGGCTGGCTGGCGAACCCGTGGGGCGTGTCCTGGGTCGGCGGATCCTGCCCCGCTGCCGGCCGCACCCCTGCCGCCCGCCTTCCTCAGCAGGGGCCGCGCTGGCGGCCCCGGGCGCGCCCCCAGCGGGCGCGGCGGCCGCTGAGGCAGGCGCGAAAGTATCGCGCAATTCTAATTCTCTGCCGAGTTGTTGAAAACTCTGCAGAAAACGGCCTGGGACATCCCCCGCAGGCGCGGCGGCCAGGGAGGCCTCGGGGGCCGCCGCTGGGGGGCGTCGGGGGCCCGGCCAGGCAGCCCGGTGGGGCCGCAAGGCTCGCCCCACCTTTCTGCTGGCAGGTGCTCCTCGACAGCGTCGGAGAATTGCTCTTCGGCCACGTCGTCGAAAGGGCCCCAGTCGCCCGAGTGGTTGGCGCGGGCGACGGCACCTTTGTGGCGGGGCCTGGGGCGAGGCCAGGCAGTCGTGGAACTGGTCGAGGCCGGCCTGGGCGGCAGAGAGGGAGCCGCCTCCATCCGCGGGGGCTGGGGCTGGCCGCGGGCTGGCGTCGTGGCCCGCGGGGCCCTGGCGGGGGTCGGGCAGGACAGCAGTCGGCCCGCTGGCGGGCGGGCCCTCCGAGCAGCCGCGCCAGCGGCCCAGCTGCACATCCTCGAAATCGGCGCCGAGCTCTGCTGGCAGGGCCGCCGCCCGCCGTTGGAGCGCGGCATGCCTCTGCCTGGGCCTCTTGCTATATTGGGGTCCGCTACCGCCTTGGCGCGCGCGGTCGCCGGGAGGCTGCGCGGGGCGCCCAGCGCCTGATACCACCATCTCTGGCAGGCGCCGTGGAGGGCGAGCTGGGGCCCGCAGTGCGTCGCCCGGCGCCTTCAGGAATGCCTTCAGCGAGAAGTGCTGGTGGCCGTCTTTGGCGAGGCCGTAGTCCAGCAGGCGGCCCAGCTCTTTGTCGCGCGTGGTGGCGACGTCGGGGGCGATGACCGCGCCGCCCAGCTTGGCGACCCAGCCCGACTGGGCGAGCTGGTGCGGCTCGTGGTTCCAATCGCCGAGGACGATCCACGGGGCCTTCTGCAACGCGAGGAAAGCCCCCAGTGCGACGAGGGTGTCCCTGTCGCGCTTGCCGAAGCCGAGCGCAGGGTGCAGGTAGAGCGCCACCGCGATGATGTTGCCCGCCGTCGCGCGCAGGATCATGGGGGCGTAGCCGCAATGCGCAGCGCCATTGGCGTCGCGCCAATGGTCGAAGGTGGTGGCTTGGAGGGGCGCGCGCACCACCATGAGCTCGACTCCTGCGACGCCGTCCTTGCCCGTGGAGACCCCGGGGGAGTGCGTCGCCTTCCAGCCGTCCTTGCGGAAGGCCTTGATGATGGACCTGGAGTGGGTCTCCGCGCGGCGCAGCTCGACGCAGGCGACGCCGTCGAAGCGCTTGACGCGGTCGGACTGCAGGAAGCCCTGGACCCGGGGGCCCCACTCCGTGATGTTGCCGCAGAGGACGGCGACGTCCTCATGGCCCGTGTCAGGGGCGATGATGGCCTCCACTGGCGGCCGCGGGAGCAGCAGGAGCAGGGGGCGCGCCAGCCGCGCCTGCAGGCTGACCAGCCACCGCCTCGCGGCCACGGGTCTCCGGGTCGTCCCCTCCCGCTCGGACGGCCTCCTTGGACTGCTGGGGGCCCTCGGCGTCGTCGACCTTGGCCCGCTTGGCAGCGAGCGTGGCCGCCTGGTGAGTCTCGGCGCAGCGCCTGGCCGCGTTGCGAGCCTCCTCGTCGTCCTCAGGGACCTGCTGGCCGAGGGGCTCGAGGAAAGCGCGGCTGGTGGCGGCGGTGGCCCAGACTGTGACGGCGGGGACCTGGGCGGTGGCTGACGCTGGGGCCCCAGCCTCAGGCGGCGCCGGAGGGCCTCGGTCGCGCGCCGCCTTGGCCTCCTCGACCTTCTGGAGGAGGCGGCCCATGGCCTCCTGGAACTGTTAGTTGATCTCGAGCGCGTCGGCGCCGTCGAGGCCCTCGTCGTAGAGGTGGTCCTCGAGCTTCGCCGCGACGTTCTCGAGGAGGGCGATGACCTCCGACTCCTTCCCGCCGTGGAGTCGCTGCTTGCCGAGGTCAGCGAGGAGCGCGCGGGCCGCCGCGAGGTCCTTGTCGTGCTTGGCCTGCTGCTCCAGCTGGAGAGCCAGATTGACCTCGAGGTGTGCGATCTCGGCCTTGGTCGCCTCAACGTCTTTGCCGATCGACGTCGTGAGGCCCTCCAAGCGCTTGACGTCGCGGTTGCAAGCGTGGTAGCGCCTGCCGAGGAGGAGCGCATCCTGGCGCTTGGTGCGCAGCGCCTCGACCTTCGTCTTCCAGCGCTGCCCGTTGTCCTTCTGCGAGTCGCCCATGTGCTCGCCCGCCTGGATGAAGAGCCGCCAGTTTCTCGATGTGCGCCAGGTCGTCGGCGCCCCCTGCTGGGGACCCCGCAGCTGCCGGAGGCGGCGCTGCGTCTCCACCCGTCGCGGCCGTAGCGCCCTCGCGCCGAGCCTGCTCGAGGTCCTTGTCGTGCTTGGCCTGCAGCTGCTGGCGGATCTTGACCTCCATGGCCTTATACTGCCAGGGGGCAACATCGCCTGTGGGCTCGGCGGCAGTCGGCGGCGGGCTGTTGACGCGCGGTGCCGGATTGCTGGGGGCGCCCGCGACGACCTCGCCGAACGCGAACCCTTTGTGCAGGTTGCAGCCCGAACACACGAGGCTCCAGCTGCTGTTGCGGAGCCTTGCGCCCTTGGCCGTCTTGCAAAACTTGCACAGCCAGGGCTGCCGCTCCGTGGAGGCCCGTGCCGACGGGCGCGGCGGGGCTGCCTGGGCTGGACCCGCCCTCCTCCTCCTCTCCGGAGACATGCCAAAGCGCGCGGGCCCGCAGAGAACTACTACTATAAAGCCGTGCCATGACGGCACATCGGCAACAGTGCGATTAGTCAGAGTGAAACAGCATACTTTCGTACAGCGGCTTTCCACGTCTCGAAGCAGCCACTGTCTCTGCCCAGAGCGGCGGACAGACGATGTTCGTCTCCGCCCACGGCCCTGATCGCATGCATTCTGGTTCTGTGCCCCCAAGAAACTCTTGGACGCCCTCGCTTTCGCACGCTGGCTGGCCGCGCCAGCTGCGTTGACGAAGGTTGGAAAATTGATCTGCGAACAATGCTGGTGTCTGGCATTAGTGCTACTTTTCCAAACAGACACAATTGCTTGGCAATCAGCTGCTCTGCCAACGGGCGCGCCGAGGCAATGTCCAAACCCCTTTCGTTGGACACTCTCGAAATCATGGGGCGCGGTGCCCCCAGAATCTTCCGTAAACATGAAACGTGGAATGAATGAATTCGAAAATATTCCGCTTTATCTAATCGCTCTGTGTCTAAACTGCACAGAAGTTTGGAGACGGCGCACGCCTCGTAAATCCTCTGCTTCCTACTCCTGCTCAGATGCTCAGAGAAGACTGGCTCCAGACTGTCTTCAGGGTTGTGCATGTGCCCTGCGCCTCTCCAAGCCTCCGGGATACCGCGCCTCTGGCGGAGCCGCTGGTCGTCAGCAAGCCGCCGAGGTAGACGTGCTGCTCCACTCCGGGAATGGGTTGGCCGCTCGGATCAAGAATCGGCGCCGGGTTGCCGATGCGCAGGACGACGGTTTTCTCCCAATTGGGAAGCAGGCCGCACGGAGCAGCTCGAGACAGCAGGCTGTTCAGAGCTGCCTGCAAGCAAGTAGATGACGTACAAATCAAAGCGGTATCGTCGGCGTACTCCACGTCGTCTGTTTTGCAATCCTCATGTTCCCAATCCACATCTGCCATGATGACGGTGAGGACAATCAGATGCGGGGGCAGCGGGCAGCCTTGCGCAATGCCGGCCGCCTGCCGGCGGGCGCCGGATTATTTGCCAGCGTCTCGCGCTGTGAACGATCTGCATCTGCAAACGGAAGCGACCATGTCGATGTACGCTTCGGGAAGACCAAACCTGCGCAGCGCCAGTTGCATCGCTCATGGATCGATGCGGCCGAAAACTTTCGACCAATCCAGAAGTAATACCGACTGCTCGCCGTCTCTCAAGTCCTGCGCTGCATCCACGATGCGCTGCGCGGTTGTCTCGGAGGCGGCCCTCCGCGCCTCCAGTCCGAAGCCGCTCCAGAATCGAAGCCGCGAGAACATTGCATCCCACTGCCAACAGTGAAATAGGACGGCAATTGGATGGCAGCGCCGGGTTGCCTTTGTTGAATATTGCAGACGCCGAAAAGCAAGCCCAGGATGGAGGGATCGCCCGCGCCTCCCAGCATGAGTTCAACAGCTGAAGCAGAATTTGAAGAGACGTGTCATTGCGGGCAAGGGTGGCCCAGAAGTCCGGCGGTTCATTGTCAGGCCCACTTGCTTTTCCCCTCCGCTGTCGCGACAGCACCTTCTTCAATTCCTTCTGAGAGAACCCTCCGGTCGGAATGTCTATCACCGGACCCAGTCGAGGCTCGGATGGCACGCCCTCCCCTGCGCCAGGAATTCGCTTCCACTGCGCATCCTGGAAGTAAGTCGCCATGGCTTCAGCCCTGCCACTGGAGTCCACGAGGTTGCCGTCCATGCTCTGTAGTCGGCCCTGTTGTTGGTGTGATTCTCCGCGCCGCAAGCGTTTTATAGCAGACCAGCCGTTCTCCGCGAGGTCCTTCTCTAACCATTCTGCTCGGTCCCGTTTGGCAGCGGATTTGATCTGCTTGTTCAATGAAGCTTCTAACGCGAATTGCCCCTCAGCCCGGGCAGTGTTCCGCTGCTCGATAAGGTCAAGGGCTGTTCGAATCCGTGGCCGTTTCGCGATAACAGGTCTGACTGGAAGGGCACTTTCCGCAGCGGCCTCCATGGCAGCTCTCACTCTCCGCCATCGAATCAACCTGCTGTTCTGCATCTCTGCGCAGAAGGTCCCCGGCACCTTCCGAAAAGCGCGTGCAGAAGTGCTCGGCGATAGAGTGTGACTTCGAACTTTTGGTGTCGCGCATCTCCTTATGCGTCTTGGGCGGCTGCTTCTTGATCTCCACAGCGGTGTCCACGAGGACAAGAAAATGATGATATTGTAATGCGATGTCTCTCCTGCTCTGTACGCGGCGCACTATTCCCTGCCACTCTCTCTTCACCAAAATGTGATCGAGCTCGGCAAACTTCTTCGCAGTGATCTCATCGAGCGGACGGGCAGCGAGGTCGTGGTAGGTGACCTGTTCGCGAACGGGCCGCTCGATAAAAGTGTTCGCCACCACCATTCGCATAGACCTGCGCGTTTCTACCAATAGTTCTCGGTTGTTCGCTGCATCGAGCTCTGCGGATTGATTGCCGAACACGTGCGGTCCGAATGCGTCCTCCCCCCCTGCGCATCTCTTGTGTAGCCTGCTATTCATATGACCAAGAACAATAATTGGTCCATGTGTTTTCGCTTTCTGGGCTGCCCCTCGAGTTCGTGAAAGAAGCTCTGCCGCTCCTCCGATGGGCGGCCATTGTGTGGAGCATGACCGGTAATGATGCTCATCTGGCCCCCCTCGACTCTGATCTCCAGCGTAGCGATGCGTGAACTCTGCTGCGAAAGACTCAAAATCGAGTTGCGGATTCGCGGAGATACCAAGAAACCCACTCCAGCGTGCTCCATGTCGTTCTCGACGCCCCCTGACAATGCCACAAAGTAATCATTATATAAATAATAAGCTGAACCAGCGAAGTGTGTCTCCTGTAAGCACAATATGTCGACACCTTCATTTTCATGACCAATAGTATTTGTTCCAACTTGGTCTCATTCATGCTCTTCTCCTCCGATAGTCCCTCCACGCTCCACGAAGCAAGCCGCCCCATGCATGCCGGCCTCGGGATCGTAGTGCTGCGGAATTGCCTTGGGCAGTCCCGTCTTTCTTGAAAGCGTGCTGCAGAAGCACTGCGCGGCAATGATAAGGTAGAAATGATATCCCCATGGGCGGTCGCAGGATGAACTCTCTCACCGTGTTGGGGAACAGATTCTGCGCAAAACTCTCAAGGATGTGAAACGCCGATGTGCCGTCCGAGCCCCTAATGCTTACCCTTCCCCTTTCCCCTTCCTTTCTGCCCCTTGTTCGAAGATTTCCCAGCCCCTTTTACTGGGGCATTTTCCAACTTGCTCTTCATCTTCGCAATGAGGTTGGGGAAGTCCCGGTAGTTTGCGTCAGAGAACCAGGCCTCCCAGTCCGTCCCGTACTCTACCTTGAGGCTGCCGTTGTCGATGGCCACGTGCACTGCGAGCTCCCGTCCTACCCAGACCTTGCCTCCCTCCGGATCTGCCCAAACAGCCTCGGCTTCGTAACCCCACTGTTTCAGCAAATACTTTACCCCGAACACCGTGGAAGTAACGATACGTTCAGGGAGTGGTTGGTCCTGTATTGCCCACATGGGATTGCCCCCCTCGTTGAAAGAGCCCCTCTGGAAGATGGTTACCGCAGTATTCCTGTCACTGTTGTTGACGAATTTTGCGAAGATGATGCCTCGGAATTCCCCCTTTGAGTAGATTTCCTCCGGCTTTGGTCCATACCCCTCCCAAAGTTTGTTGTTGACCCACCTCTTCGCGGACTCCAGGTCCCCGATCGACTGCAAGCCTCCGAGCACCATGGTCTTGTCATTATCCTGAGTCTCTGTGGTGTTCGGGCCGACGACCCGGAACATAGACAGCTGCACCTCTAACTCTCGGATCCTCTCCGTTACGTCGTCGTTGGCGCTCGCATTGGAGCGGGGCGTCTCGTTCAAGTCAAAACTGCTCTCGAGGTTCGTGAGGCGTATCTCCACCTCTTCAATTCTCTCTTCCGAACTCCCGACCCGCTCCTCCGCTGAGTTCATCCTCGTCCCCACTGTCCCGCTCAGCTGTGTAAGCTGGCTCTCGAGGTTGTTCATCGCGGTCCGCAATGGCTGCACCTCCTCCCTGAAGAGCCAGGCGATCTCATGAAGCGCTGGTGGATGAACGTCTGCAGCTGCGGATCCTGAGGCTGCTGCTACTGGTGTTCCTGCCGGGTGTGCTTGGAAGGCCTCTGCAGGGGTAGACGGTGCCTGCTCAGGGGCTGGCGAAGAAATCTGATGTACCTCCGGGCGGGGTGGGGAGGCAGAGTCAAGGTCCTCCAACCCGTCCATCTCGTGGAGAGGGCTGAACAGGCGTCGGCGCACGTCAGGCGAAAGAACTCCTCCAACTGGTGTCCCTGGCGCCCGCGAGTTCGTGCCGGCCATCGGAAGATAAGGGTATGGAAAAGGAAAGCTGGGAATATCGGGAAGTTGGGAAAAGTTTGGAAGACCGCGTCTCGATAGGAACTCGGTTTTGAGCTCCCTGAGCCTTGAGCCTTGAGCTTGAGCCAACTGATTAACTCTTGAGCTTGAGCCAACTGATTAACTCTTGAGCCCGCAAAGAACTTGGTATCAAACTTGTGAAGTGTCCGCCAACGCCCGACGCACTGGAGTGCTCGGAAGAGAGCTGCCCGCTCGCAATGGACCAGTCCATCTTGAGCCAAAATGGCTACGGAGGAAGAGGGAGGAGGAGGAGGAGGAGGAGGAGGAGGAGGAGGAGGAGGAGGAGGAGGAGAAGGAGGAGGAGGAGGAGGAAGATGAAGAGGAAGAGGAAGAGGAGGAGGATGGGGCGGAGAAGGAGGGAGGAATCCGCCGTCCAAGCTTGCCAACGCCACGCCTCCCAGACCCGGGCGACCCGCGGGAGACAGACCCGGGCGACCCGCGGGAGAGCGCGGAGTCGCCTTCAACATGCGCCATGCGACGGGCAGCGGGGCGCAGCCGTGCGGTGCGCGTGCGCGAGACAGCCCCGGGCACGACGACGATCAAGCAACAAAGACGATGGACTACAACTCAGGACAGGCAGGAGAGGGCATATTCGCCTACAGCGTGCACGAGCGACTGGCAATGGGGCCCATCAGCACGGTGCACGTGCGCGAGGCAGACGACGACAAGGACGACAACCACCACCACCACCACCACCACCACCACCACGACGACGACGACGACGACGACGACGAACGCGGCCGCGGCGGCTGACGACGACGGCAAACGACGACGAGGACGACCACCACCACCACCACAACCACCACCACCACCATCACCACCACCACCACCACCACCACCACCACCACCACCACCACCACCACCACCACCACCGCGACGACGATGACGACGAAGAAGGCGGCAGCGGCGGCAGACGACGGCAGCAGACGACGACGAGGACGACTACAACCACCACGACGACGGCTACGACGGCTACGACGACGACGTCGACGACTACGACGAAGGCGGCGGCGGCAGACGACGGCGGCAGACGACAACTTAGGACATTCAGGTGTGACTCGCCTTTTCGTAAAAGGAAGCTGGGCTCACCCACGCCCCCAGCGGAAGCGGCCTCGGGGTAGCCCTTGACGATGAGCTCGTCCAGGTAGCGGACGATGGTCTCCTCTGAGACGTGGAGGAGGAGGAGGAGGAGGAGGAGGAGGAGGCGGAGAAGGAAGGGAGGAGGAGGAGGAGGAGGAGGTTGACGAGGGGATGTGGCTCCCCCCTCGGGGGGACGACTGCGAGCCACGACCCGCCCTGGAAGGGGAGGGCGCCGCGGCGAGAGCACGACCAGGAGGACTGGAGCGGGAGGGCCCCAGGCCTTCACCGAGCAGGTCCTCACAAAGAAGAATACGACGACGACGACGACGACGACGACGACGACGACGACTACGACGACGACGACGACGACAGCGAGGACGACGAGGAGGACGAGGACGACGACGACGACAGCGACGACGAGGATGAGGACGACGCCGCCGCTGACGACGGGCGCGGGCCCCGAGCGACGACGAGTGGGCGACCGCGGGCCGATGACCGTCTCCCCGCGGGGCCCAGGCCCCGCCTGCACTGCCGCTGCCCCTGCTCCTCCCCGCTGCCCCGGCAGCGGCGACGCTCGGACTGCACTGGGAGCGAGGAGGGCTCCTCCTCCCTCGCCGCCGCCGCCTCCGACTCCTCCCGCTCCTGCCGCTCTCCCCGGCGAGTCCGCGGACGCCGCCGAGGCGCCGAGGCGCCGAAGCGCCGAAGCGCCGACGCCGACGAGACCCGACGACGACGACGACGACGACGACGACGACGACGACGACGACGACGACGGCGGCGACAGCGACGGCGACAGCGACGGCGACGGGCGACGGGCGACGGCGACGGCGAAGGCGACGGCGACGACGACGACGACGGCGACGGCGACGGCGACGGCGACGCGACGGCGACGGCGACGGCGAAGGCGACGGCGACGCCGATACCGACGACAACGAGACCTCTGAAGGGGCAGCCAAGACTACCCAGAACCTCCCAAAGCATCCTCCCTCCTCCCCGGCTCCGATCCGTCTCTCTTCCTCCGAGCACGGCAACGACGAGGATGACGACGAGGACGAGGGCGTGGATAAAGACGACGACGACGGGCAGGCGCAGGGAGCAAGGACGAACGGTAGAGGCTGGCGGCGATACATCGCCGACGGATCGGCGACAGGCCATCTGGCGAAACCCCGCAAGCCTGGGCGAAGTGGGCCGACGACGACGATGACGACGTTGAAGCCGACGTCGTCGGAGGCGGCGGCGGCAATGGCGGAGTCGGCGATGGCGGAAGCGGCGTCAGCATCGGCGTCAGCGTCGGAAGGCGTCGGAATCGGCGTCGGCGTTGGCGTTGGCGTTGGCGTCGGCGTCGGCGTCGGCGTCGTCGTCGGCGTCGGCGTCGACGTCGGCGTCGGCGTTGGCGCCGGCGTCGTCGTCGGCGTCAGCATCGGCATCGGCATTGTTGTCGAAGCCAGCACCGGCCCAAGCGCGGCCAGTTTCTGCGTCAGCGCCAGCGTCGGCATCGGCAGCGGAGTTGGCAGCGTCGGCGTCGGCGTCGGCGTCGTCGCCGTCGTCGGCGCCGTCATCGGCGTCGTCGGCGTCTGCTTCGGCGTCGGCGTCTGCTTCGGCGTCGGCAGCGGCGTCGGCGTCGGCGGCGGCGTCGGCGTCGGCGTCAGAGTCGGCGTCGGCGTCGTCGTCGGCGTCATCGGCGTCGTCGGCGTCGGCGTCTGCTTCGGCGTCGGCGTCTGCTTCGTCTTCGGCGGCGGCGTCGGCGTCGGCGGCGGCGTCGGCGTCGGCCTCTGCGTTTGCGGTTGCGTCGGCGGCGTCGGCATTTGCGGTTGCGTCGGCGGCGTCGTTGTCGGCGTCGGCGTCGGTGTCGGCGTCGGCGTCGTCGTCGGCAAACTGTCGGCGTCGGAGTCGGGTATCGTTGTCGTCGGCGTAGGCCTTGGCGTCGTCCTCGTCGGCGGCGTAGACGTCGTCGGATTCGTCGGCGTCGGCGTCGTCGTCGGCATCGGCGTCGTCGTCGGCGTCGGCGTCGGCGTTACCGTCGGTGTTGCGCGTCGGAGTGGGCATCGGCGTCGTCGTCGTCGCCGTCGCAATCGTCGCCGTAGCCGTCGGCGGCAGCGGCGGCATCCAGGTCTAAGTCGTCGGCGTCGGCATCGACGTCGGCGTCGTCGTCAGCGTCGTCGTCGGCGTCGGCGTCAGTGTCGTCGTCGTCGTCGTCGACGGCAGCGGCGTCGGCGTCGGCGGCGTCGGCGTCGGCGTCGGCGTTGGCGTCGGCGGCGGAGACGGCGGCGTCGCCGTCGTCGTCGTCGTCGTCGTCGTCGGCGGCGGCGGCGGCGCCGGCAGCGAGGGCGCCAAGACCAGAGTCATTGGCTTCGGCGTCGCCGTCAGCGTCGTTGTTGTCGTCGGCGTCGTCGTTGTCGTCGGCGCTGGCGTCGGCGTCGGCGTTGGCGGCGGCGTCGCCGTCGTCGTCGCCGTCGCCGTAGCCTTCGTCGACGTCGTCGTCGACGAATTCGTCGTCGTCGTCGGCGTCGTCGTCGTCGGCGTCGTGGGCGTCGGCGTCGTCGGCGCGCGAAGCGTCGGCGTCGGCGGCGGCGTCACCGTCGACGTCGTCGGCGTCGTCGCGGACGTTGTCGTCGACGTCGAATTCGGCGTCGTCGGGATTGTCCCCGTCGTCGTCATCGTCGTCGTCGTCGTGGTCGTCGTCGCCGTCGTCGTTGTCGAATTCGTCGAAGCCGTCGTCGGCGTCGTCGCGGACGTTGTCGGCATCGGCGTCGTCGTCGGCATCGGCGTCGGCGTCGGCGGCGTCGGCGTCGGCGCCTGCGTCGGCGCCGGCGTCGGCGTCGGCGTCAGAGTCGGCGTCGGCGATTGCGTCGGCGGCGTCGTTGTCGGCGTCGGCGTCGGCGTCGGTGTCGGCGTCGTCGTCGGCATCACCGTCGGCGACGGAGTCGGGGTTGTCATTGTCGTCGGCGTCGGCGGCGTCGGCGTCAGCCTTGGCGTCGGCGTCGGCGTCGTCGTCGGCGGCGGCGTCGGCGGCGGCGGCGTCGACGTCGTCGGCATCTTCGTCGTCGCCGTCGGCGCCGGCGTGGGCGTTGGCGGCGGCGTCGCCGTCGTCGCCATCGCCGTCGTCATCGTCGCCGCCGTCGTCGTCGTCGTCGTCGTCGTCGTCGTCGTCGTCGTCGTCACCATCGTCGTCATCGAATGTGTCGTCGGCGTCGTCGTCGTCGGCGTCGGCGTCGTCGGCGTCGGCGTCGGTGTCGTCGGCGCTGGCGTTGGCGTGGGCGTGGGCGTCAGCGGCGTCGTCGTCGGCACTGTTGTCGTCGTCGTCGTCGTCGTCGTCGTCGTCGTCGTCGTCGTCGTCGTCGTCAACGTCGTCGTCGAATTCGTCGTCTTCATCGGCGTCGTTGTCGTCGTCGGCGTTGGCGTGGGCGGTGGCGTCGGAGTTGGCGTCGGCGTCGACGTTGGCGTCGGCGTCGTCGTCGGCGTCGTCGTCGTCGAATTCGTCTTCGGCGTCGTCGTCAACGACGACGGCATCGGCGTCGGTATCGTCGTCGGCGGCGTCGGCGTCGGCGTCGTCGTCGTCATCGAATTCGTCGTCGTCGTCGTCGAATTCGTCGTCGTCGGCGGCGGCGGCGTCTTTGGGGCGGCCGGGGCTCCTGCCACTCCTCTTGGCACCGCTCGTCGCCCTCGGCGTGCCTGGGGGGGGCTGTTTTCTGGCCCCCTCGGCGCCCCCTCTGCGCCCGCGGTGTGCGCGCGGGAGGAGGAGGAGGAGGAGGAGGAGGCGCAGGAGGAGGAGGAGGAGGAGGAGGAGGAAAGAGGAGGAGGAAAGAGGAGGAGGAGGAAAGAGGAGGAGGAGAAGGAGGAGGAGGAGGAGGAGGAGGAGGAGGAAAGAGGAGGAGGAGGAGGAGGAAGGAGGAAAGAGGAGGAGGAGGAGGAAAGAGGAGGAGGAGGAGGAGGAGGAAGAAAGAGGAGCATGAGGGAGGAGGAAGGAAGACGGAAGAGGAAGATCATGACCATGAGCATGACCGCGGGGCGCCCCTTCCTGAGCGCCCTGTCGACCGCAGCACCGTACACGTGCAACCGAAACAGGGGGACCGCCGACAGAGCCCTCCGCGCCGCCACGCTGGTCCTGGGCAGGCTGTGCTTCCTGGCGGAAGGGGAGGGGAGAAGCAAACAAGCAAACAAGCAAACAAGCAAAACGGGGCCGGCGGGGCGGGCGGGCAGGAGGCAACGAGGGGGGGCAGAGCGGAGACCGCAGGCAGGAAGCAGGAGGAGAGAGAGGGGGGCAAGGAAGAGGAGGAGAGGGGAAGCGACCGCAAGCAGACGGGCGCGAGAAGCAGCGCCTGGGCTCTCCGACGGGAGGACGAGTCGAGGCGCCTGGCGTGCTAGTCATCACCCTCGCGGGTCCAGCCTCGGCGTCGTCGGCGGCGTCGGCGTCCGCGTCGGCACTGGCGTCGGCGTCGGCGTCGGCGTCGGCGTCGTCGACGTCGCCGTCGGCGTCGTCGCCGTCGTCGGCGGCCGCCCTCTGCGGCGGCGGCGGCGTCGGCCTGGGCCCTCCGGCCTGGAGGGCGCGGCGAGGCGCCGGGCGTGCGAGCCCGAGCTGAGCGCGCAGCGCTGCGGCTGCCGCCGCCTCGGCAGCGCTCCCGGGCGGCCCACAGGGGCACTGCGCGCAGGAGGGCGCCGCGCCCGACGCCTCTCCCGTGGCGGACCCGGGCGGTCGGAGCGCGGCCGCCGGCCCAAACTTCGGGGTCGTCGGTCGGCGGCGAGCGAGCGAGCGAGGGGCGGGGAGGCGAGGGGGCGGGCGAGACGGAGAAGGCCTCCTCCGAGGGCGGCGGGACTTCTCGGAGGGCCTCCCGCCCAGGAGGAGGAGGAGGAGGAGGAGGAGGAGGAGGAGGAGGAGGAGGAGGAGGAGGGGGAGGAGGAGGAGGAGGAGGAGGAGGAGGAGGAGGAGGAGGAGGAGGAGGAGGAGGAGGAGGAGGAGGAGCAGCTTCCGGCGTCTTCGGGGAGGGCTCAGCCAACGTCTCAGAAGGCCGCGGGGCTCCCGGGCTCTCGGAGGAGGCCCGCCCCCTCGCCCTTCCCCCCCGGGCTCACCACCGATGACGGGGAGGAAACGGCTGTGGGAGGAGCGGCTGCAGTGGCGGCAGAAGAGGGAGGAGGCTCAAGGCCAGGAGGAGGCGAGATCACGGCAGGGCGGAGGACGGACGGGGTGGGTATGTCTGCATGGCCAGAGGCAGGCCTCGCAGCTGCCTCACTCAGAAGACCTGCCCTCAGCTCCTCTGCGCGAAGGCTTCCACTCCATGCAGACCCACCCATGGAAACACTGCCGCAGCAGTCGCATCCCATCCATGGAAATACTGATGCCATCACGCCCACCCATGGAAATACGACCTGTCCTGTGGACTGGCCTCCTACTTGATTTGATCGAGCAGCCTCCGAACCTCTCTCACGAGCACACCCCTGGGAACCCCTCCGATCACTGTCTCCCCGCCCATCTCCACGAGCGCCTGGCGGATCGACGTCAAGAGTTGCTGGGCTCCCTCCGCCTGAGTCGCGGTCAAGAACTGGATCTCGTCCTGCTCCTGCTGTTTGCCGCTCCTTGTGCGCAGGCGTTTCGCTCAGCAAAAGCGAATTCTATTGTTCTGCTAGTCGGGGCTCGTGGCGACCGAGATCGCCTTGTCCAAGTCCTGTTTGGCTGCGTTGCGGTTCGCCTTCAAGACTCCCATCTGCCTCCTCCTCGTCCACGAGTCCCCCGATAATGGCCGCAAAGACTCGAAGGAACGGAAAGTATATCTTGATGCGTCCGAACCCCTCGCTCTTCGTCTCGGCGGCCTTCTGCTTCTCGCGCTGCTCCCGAGCATCTGCGTTGATGGCGGCCCCCTCCTCCAGCATACGCTGGACCACTACCGCGCCCAAATGTAGAAGATATGTGTCGTAAATGGCACCGGCGAGCGCCCTGACTGGCCAGCACCACGACCAACTCCTCCAGCGATTGCTTCTTGTTTTCGCCCTTGGCGGCCGCCTAGGCGCTGGCTGCGCCCCCTCCTGAGGCGACCTTCGGGTAGGAGGAGGAGGAGGAGGAGGAGGAGGAGGAGGAGGAGAAGGAGGAGGAAAAAGAGGAGAAGGATGAGGAGGAGGGGAGAGAAGGAGGAGGCGGACGAGGAGGAGGAGGAGGAGGAGAAAGGGCGAAGACGGATGATGGTGAAGATGAAGATGAAGATGAGAAGCATGGTGATGATGATGATGGTGATGATGGTGATGATGGTGATGATGATGATGATGAGGATGAGGATGATGATGGTGATGATGATGATGATGTTGATGCTGATGCTGATGCTGATGATGCTGATGATGATGATGATGATGCTGCTGATGCTGATGCTGATGCTGATGCTGATGCTGATGCTGATGATGCTGATGCTGCTGATGCTGCTGATGATGCTGATGATGATGATGATGATGATGATGATGATGATGATGATGATGATGATGATGATGATGATGATGATGATGATGATGATGATGATGATGATGATGACGAGGGGGAAGAGGAGGAGGAGGAGGAGGAGGAGGAGGAGGTTGAGGGAGACGAGGGCTTCGACCAAGACAGTCCGCACCGCACAGGTCGCATAGGTGGAGGGAGGAGGGGAGGGATGGAGGAATAACTGTGGACGAGGGGAAGGAGGTAGAGGTGGAGGAGGAGGAGGAGGAACAGGATGAGGAGAAGGAAGAGGAGGATGTTTTACTCAGCACCGTGCCCTGGAGAGTGACACCAGGGAAGAGGCCAGCTTGTCTGGCACAAAAAGGACTAAGGCGGTGGCCGACGCAGACAGACGGACACCCCAAAGACCGAGAGGGCCAGCAGGAGCTACAAAACCCCGCGGACCTTACGCGAGCAGCAGACGGAGACGCACTCTTGACGCTTCGAGCTGCCCGCACAGGCCGGCCTCCAACGCATTGGTTGAAGGAGGCCGAGTGGTGGGTTGCACTACGCAGCTCCAGCGCACACTCAGAGGCCCATTCCCAGACATGCTGGTCGGGCGAAAACGCACGCAGCTACAGGCCGACGCTCCCCCTGAGCGACCCAGGGTGCGGCCCGAGCATAAACAAGCCGACAGAAATGGCAACACTGCCGACGCTGAACATGGCGATGCGGGCCCTGCGGGATTGCACACCTTCCCCCTGAGGCGGGGTGCCTGACACACGTGCAGACAAACGCACTGCGCGCGCACGTACACATACACGCTCGAAACATACACATGGCGACGCCAAGACGACGAGGCCAAGCCACCCCTGGTGTAAGGAACGCCAGGGCGGTGCCAAACCTCGCCCCCGGTGCGGGCCAGACTTAGCAGCAGAGGTGCAAGGATCGCCCTGAGCTGGCTTCAAACGTGACCTGAGCCACGCGTCGTCCCACAAGGCTAGGGGCCAAAGGCCCTCGGCGGGAGCCCGGTCCCGACCCGAGCAACTTCACTACACAACAGTCACACGGGCATGCCGAGCAACATCGGGCGGAGGCCCCCTATCAGGCTGTCCCACCCAGCCCCCGCGGCCCGACCGAACGGGAGCTCGCGGTGTGCGGGATCGGCGCATGCCGGCACAGGAGGAGCGTCTGGCAGAAAGGACGATCCGTCAGACTCGTCGGAGAGAACCGATGACAAAGAATGAGAAGACTGGCCGTGCAAATCGTGCCAGAACGACAAGCTAGCGCCCTGTGGCGCAAGGCTGGGACTCCTCCCCCGAAGCGCTGGCCCTGGCCAGTCCTCCTCAGGCGGCACGGGAGCCAGGGGGGAGGAACTGGGAACAGGAGCAGAACCTGGCGCAGCCGACGAAGTAAGGCCCCCCCTTCGTCACGAACGACGGCTCAACGATCGACTCACGTTGCTGGTCAGGTTCGTCCTGCTCGAAATCCTCCGGGTTGAAATTCTCACACGCGACACCTGCAAGCTTGGGGTGCATCCGCCGACTGAGTGCCCGTCTGACAGACGCCGCATACTTGATCAGCGAGTCTTTGGCTTCAGGTTTGCAATCAAATCGGAATTTCTTCAATTGGCCTCCGAAAGTGTAGCAATAGCACCGCATGCACAAGTACAAGATCGTGCCATTAGGACAATGAAGGCCAACCACTCGGTGTCCACACTCATGGAAGCCAAGGGCGACTGCCGGCAATTTACTAGAGCTTCCAGCAACATGCGGACACGCCTGCTGTCTCTTAAATTGCAAGCGTGTCTGGCAGCGCCAAAAAAATGCGACACCACAACCATTGGTGAGCACCTGAGTTGACTACTTCTTTGGCCTCAGGCTCGGACCGACCGACCCACGGCAAATCGGACAAATCTAACTTGGGCCAAAAAGGCAGCAACGTGTAGGCGAGCTTGCACACCTTACGAGCTGTAGAGGTGAGGCGGCTAACCTCCTCCAGCTCATCTGGTGTGGGTTGAGGATGTGATGCTGCGCCCTGCTTTGGGGTGAGGTCTGCAACATCATTTCCTCTCTCACATAATAGTTCGTACTCAGGTCTGCGCTATCTGGAACATGTGCACGGACCTTCTCGACTCGAGAGAAAAACGACCGGCGCCTGATAATCATGCCCGCATATGGCCTTCTATACTGAGTTTGCCTGGTTAACGGCTGGGTGAACTGCTTGACCACATTACTACACCGAGAGATGCCACAAGAAACTCATTGGAGGCACCGTCGGCGCCGAACTCCCCCGCCTGAGACGTCTGAGGAAGATCGGCCCAAATCGGGCCCCATATTGAGCAAACATGTTCACGCTCGTCATTAAAAACGGCTACCTTTACCCCAACCAGCCCTGTATTTCAGGAACATCACGCTTGGTCTGGAGGAGGAGGAGGAGCAGGAGAAGCAGGATGGAGGGATGAGGAAAGGGAGGGGGGGAGAGGAGGGGAAGGAGGAGGAAGGGAGGAGGGGGATGAGGGTGTGGGGAGGATGAAGATGCACCAGCCCTCTGCTCCCACCGTACGATGCGTGCCGAGCAGGAGGAGGAGGAGGAGGAGGAGGAG